AAAAATATTATGCAGGTGTTACCCAGAAAAAAAAGCATTTTTCATTTCTTAATGTTTTTCCTGTTTTTCTTTTTTTACCTTCTTTAATGTCAGTTTATGTTCCTTAACAGTGATTTTTATCAAAAATAAAAAAAAAAAATGAAAATTTCCTTTTCAAATGAAAATTATCTTAAAGTTTAAAAAGGAATTTAAAGTTTACTCTTCCTGTTTCTCCTGTTCATTTCAAAAATCTATATAGTAAAGTTACACGCTTAAACAATTTTTTAAGAAACTTTTAAGAAAATAAAAAAAAAAAAAATAAGAGAATATTTAAAGAAAAAATTTTCCCTATACTTTAATTTTTCATTTGTAATGGAAAAAGAAAATTTTATAATTATATTTATATTAATTCGTATGAGTGTGTTTTGCTGTTTTTTCTCTATATTAAAATAGGAAAATTTAAAAAAAAAAATCTTTTTTTTTAACTTATTATAATAATTGATTTCATTAAGTTTTCACACATATATGAACAGAATAAAAGAAAAAATTCTTAATATTAAAATAATTGGAGAACAGAAAAAATTTCAATTCATTTTACATAACTTAAATTATATTATTTCTTTAATATGTGAACTATAACCATATTATATAAAAAAAAAGTCCATAATTACATAACTATAAGCTTATTGAATAAAATTATGTATTTGGATATCGCAAAATTGACACAATTATGGTATACTATATGGCAGAAAATTATATAGTGGTGAACAATTAACACCGTATGACACGCATATTTTTTTAGCCGCATCACTTGTTGATATTATTGAGAAGACTTTTGTCAAATTTCGGAATTGAATTTATTCAGAAAATTTCAAGATTTTTAAGTAATCACTCAAGTGATGTGTTTTGTCACTATTATGTGTTATTGCTTATAAACACTAAATGTGTTATTAATTTATTCTTAAAAGTATTCGAGAAAAATGAAATTACATTCATTTTCTAAAATATATTGGAAATACTTGCTGTAACATTGTATAGAATCAACCATCTGGGCTCGTATAACAGCTATATATAACTTTTAGTTTACAAGTCCTAAAAATAATAAAATGATTTTAATATTTTGCATTCTCTTAGTACATTTAACAACAAACATTTAACTAATTAATACTGTAAACATTATAATATATTTTATGTGGAATTATAATTTAAATTTTACCACCGTTAGGAGATTACAACACCAGCTGCTCGAAACTACTATTTTTAATTTAATAAAATTCCCAATTAATTCAAGGACTCAAATTAAAATTCAAACAAAAAAACTCTAACACATATTTGGAAGAGTATGAAATTTAATCGGAACACCAATACTTGGTGGACGCTTCAAAAAGATTTATTTTTTTCCCCAAATTCTACTACTTTTTACTTTAATAAATTGCTATTATGTGGCATCCTTTTATTTTGCATAGATTTTTTACGCTTGCTTATTCAAAAAAATAAAAAATATTTCTTTAAAATGAATTTGAAAAAAAAAAAAATTTTTTTGTTAAATTAACAATTTTTTTTTCACATTTCACAAAAATTTTTTTGCTTCGAAATATTTCTTTGTTAAAAGAAAATCATGTTATTTTAAAATCCAATTAAAATCCACCCACAAAACGAAAAAATCCTTTTTAATGTTGTACATGCATACATACATAAAAAATTTGTACACACAACAAGAAAGAACAAAACCTCTGTTTTTTTATTAAATGCAAGGATGTGAAATAACAATATTTGTATAGATGTCCTTTACTTCACGTTGTACATAATTTTCATATATGCATATATGTACATGAGTGCAAAGAGAAATAATCTTTGATCTTATATCTATAATTATAAACAGGATCATTGAACCGGTACGTTGCGAATATTGTAGTAAAATTTATTTGTTACTAGAATAAAAATTATGTTTTTAATTTTGAGAGTTTTATAGGTATAGAATAATATAATCCAGTATTTGTTGGAATTAGTTGAAATATACAAGAAGATAGTTATGTAATTGAATAGAGTGAATATATAGAGAATCATATAAGTGAAATCACTGGTATCAGCCTGGACGTCAGTTCAACCATAGATTACAATAACTGGCCCAAAAATTTTGATAAACACTGCGAAAAAGATTGCAATCCTCTGCATTTAAATGATTTAATAAAAAAAGAATAAACATTGTCTCGTTTTTTTTTCTGAAGTCAACAAGAATCTTGTACCAAAAATTAATATAAATCTACTTTAGGTACATGTAGTACGTTCATTTTCATGAAGTATCTTCAATTAGAATTAGAAGAACTCGGCACGTATATTCATTCAAAAATAATTTCATATACATATGTTTTTATTCTATGCGGTACACAATATATGTACATACATATAACTCTATATATTTTATGAGTTGATATTAAAATATCGTTATAGAAAGAATGAAAAATTCCTAACGTTTGTTTTTCACAAAAAAAAATCAAAGATAAAATATTTTTACCATAGTAAAAGAAATGAATTTAGTCTTCTTCTACCATTCTTTTGTTTCCGAGGGGGGAATATATAATGGGGTTGAAATAATTGACAGGTACACATATAGTGTACGTGATTATGTTCTTATATATCTTCTTCTTTTAACTTTTCTAGACTTTACTTTAAAAATTATATTATTACGTTTTCAGATTTTATAATTTAATTCTTATATAAAAAAAAAAAAACAAATTTCTATGCACTTGGGGATGACTTGACTTTTTTATATTTTTTTTAAAGTTTTTTTAAAAATTTTCATTAAAATCTTTAAATTCTTGAAAATTGTTGAAAAAAAAAATATGTAAATTCTCAAGTATTTACAGTACAAAGACGAAAATTTAAGAAAAAATTTTTTCGACTGTTGCATCTAAATTGTTTTTTATTTAATTATTATACTTTGGCTTGCTATCATCACTGAAATACGAACTGAATGATAAAACAAACCTAGATATTCTCATTTCATTTATCATTCATATTTCCAAATTTCAGTTTAACAAATTTTTTACTTAATTAAATTTAAAATTTTGCTATTATGCTACTATCTACTAATCTTATATGTTTAAAGATTAAAATATTTCCTTATTTAATTAAAAATATTTTCAACAAGAGATTATTTAAAATTAACTCATATTGAATAATAAATTTAAAAATTTCCTTTAGTGAATAGCTTTAGTGAGGTTCTTTCTGTTTCATATTAATTCCGACAACTATTTAAAAATCCAAAATACATACGTAATTGCAATAAAGGTATATTTGCATTCACCCAGCTACATGTCAATCAAAACTGTTTCATCAAAATATAACATCTACAATGGTCTATCGATGCGTTTCGATTTTATGTAGCATCCGTTTGACCTATTTAATCGATTAAGTTTAATGTCTAGTAGATAATCCAATTTCCATATAGGCACTTGTGTTTGTGGTTAATTTTTTTTTTGGGCATGCATTTCTTCTACAAAATTTTACTGAAACATTGCTGTGTACATACGTGTATATTTATGCACTTAAAGTCAATGTCTACATCAAAAACTTTTCTGTTATTATTATTTTGCATTTTTCTTTTCCTTTTGAAGATAGTGACGTTCATCTGATAATGAATATTGTAAGCCTGTGGAAACAATATAACACCTTCAAAAAATTTTTGAATTTTCAAAGAAAAAATATGTATCGTAAAAACCAAATTGTTTTTCTGGAACAATGAATTTTTGATAAGTGCTTAAATGGCAAGCAGTACTAAATGAAAGAACAAAATAAAAGTTAAATTCAAATTTATTGTATATAGAATACATTGCTTTAAATGAAGTATACATTAGAGCTACTTGGCTTATGAAAATTTTCTTATCATGGTGTACATCATGCCCGAATTATTAAAACTGATGAATTGGTTTTATTTATTGATGCATAAAGTAATCCCTAAGACACTAATAAAGCAGAATTTTTGGTATATTTCTTGTAAAAAGGATTTTTTTAATATTTGTATCGATGCTATTTTATTTATCTTGTGCATAGAATTGTGTAATCGAATTAATTAAAAGCAATCTTGAAAAGTCAATCAGAAAATTTTTGTGGTTAAAATTTTCATATTGACAAATTTCATTTTTGATGGTGTTCAGTTTTCTTAAACTCAATATTAGTGTGAAATTTTGTTATTTCATACTTTTTTTTACTAAAACGACGCGTTTGATGATAGCAAATTAAGCATATTTGTGGCATTTGCATTTTCTTTTTATTACAAAAACAATTGGTTTGTGCAATGTAATGCTTTATAATTAGGCAATGCGGTTTTTGTGTTAAGATGGAATATGCGTATGTTAGTGCATATTTAAATATGAGTTTATTTATATACATACAATTATCAATACTGCGTGTGTTACACTCTCAGATAGATGCACACAAAATATCCTTATGTTCACATATTTCTTTTTGTGAAATCAATAATCGGATTTTGGAATCAATATATAAATGTAATTATAAAACACTCATGTATATATGCGTTATTTTTGATGAATATCTAGCATAGCTTTTTCTGGTACGCATTCATAGGTGCTACAAGATATGTATGTAATTTTAATTATCGTTCAAATGACAAAAATTAATTTTCTACTTGATAAATTTCTTATTTCGTTACAACTTATTAAAATCATATGGTTCTTATATAGAATGCGGTGTATTATGTATTTTCACATTTCAAATTTTCCATACCAATTGTATCCAAGGTGGGTGTATTCTCATTTTTCACAAATTCTATTACATAAAATTGCATTCCAAGCAGACATACTTTCATTTTTTGTACGCAGACAGACATATTCTAACTGTCCGTTTTTTTTATAAAAATTACGTTCCAGACCGACATAGTTTCATTTTTAATACGTTTTCCATGCTATCCAAACAAACATATGTATATTTTAATTTCTAAGGTATTCATCCCTATTTTTTATTAATCTTATATTAATATTGTTTTTATTTTCTTTTTTCAGATTTGTAGCACATCTGGAATAAATTTGAATGGTATGTATATAAAAGCAATGTATGTTTTAAATTTTAACACAATATGTTAAATTCAGTTCAAAATTACAACTAAACATAGTTTAAAGATAATTTGAAATCAATTATAGCTACAATCATTCGCACGATTTTTACAGTATTTGTCAACATTGTAGGCAAAAATTTTTTAAATTAATACACCTGTGCAATTTTTTACACAAACAATTTTCTTATATATATTTTAATTTAGTTATGTTTATAAATTTCTATAGACATTATTACATTAATTGTGTAAATTATTTATTATAATTTGTTATGTAATATAATTTTCCCTCAAATTGTGCATAAATTTGTGGTTATAATTTATTAAATATGCATAAAATCTATAAAATAATTAAATTTATTTATGTAAAATAAATAACTTTACATATGTATGTAGTTAATATTTAATTATAATAAGCATTTTTAAATTTTAATTCTGTTTATTTAAATAAATTACCAATATAATTTACACAACGAAATAAAAAACACATTTTTCCGATAATTACTTTGTTATTTTTTAATAAGAAATTTAATAATATATAATAAATTTCTCTGATTACAATATTTTTTAATTTTAATAGCAGACTTAGCAAATAAGTCTGCTATGTACGAGTGACCTTATAAATTTTTCGAAAGATTCTCAAATTTCTATATAAAATTGAATTTGGAAAACAGCAAATAATAAAGTTTTTGAATCTATTTAAACTTAGACTAAGATTGGAGACTTTATAATTTTATTTTATTGACATAGTACCATGTATTATTTAAACACTATAGGATAAACTAATTATATCCAAAGTTCAGTGGACCCAGGGACGGCAAATTCAATTTGCAGTTACAATGTTTAATTAATATACGTAATGAAAAACTAACAAAATCTCTTCATGCAATTTTCAAACAATTTTTAAACATTTCCAGATTACAAAATAACATTTAATAATACGCATAATTTAGGACTCAACATTTCTTAGAAATTCATAAAAACATTATTGCTATTTCTAGATTCAGGAAATAATTTAGTACTTCTATGACTTAGCGTCACAGATCTTACATTAAATATATTTTCACATTATTTTCCCAACTTCATAAACATATTAAAATTCATATTTCTTTCTAAAATAATACTTTTTTTTCTCTGCTTCAAACAAGTATGAATAAAATTATTATTTCCACATATTTTATACACATATCATATAAAATAAATTAAAATTCCACTTACACTCTATTATTCTACTGAAATTCTATTGAAATGAAAAAAAAAAAACCGCTTTGATTGACGTAGCTTTGTTAAAAATTCTGTTTGTATTTTTTTTTTTTTTTTAAAAGAAAAGCTACAAACTCTTTTCATTCAGCGTTTTAAATTATTTCCTCTCATACTTTATTTTTTAAATAGAAAAAATAAATTATTTTTAACAAAATAAAAATTCTTATTATTATCTTATGCATAAATGAATTTTAACATTACCATATTATACTCGTATTAAAGAGAGAAAAAATTGCTTTCTTTTCAAACCCATCTACTAAATCTAACAAAATAAAAAGCACACATTTCATTAACACAAACTACCATATTTTATCGTGTGTTGCAAACACACAACACAGTTGGAATATTAAAATTATATCACGTGTTTGAAAAATTGCTAGGTGTACTCTTGAATTTCTCATACTTGTTTAATTACAATTGTTTTTTCCTTCATTATAAAATTATTTAAAATCTTGATCTATGTCTGATAAAACAAAAAAAGTTTTTAAAACAAAGGAAAAGTTACCAAAAGGATTTTATTATTTTCATTTTTAAAACTTTTTATATACTGTATGTTTGTAAAAGCTACTTATACAATGCAAAATATTATTTTGAAAAACATGTAATGAAAGCAATGAACTCAATAAATGTGAATATAAATTCCAAAGTCCAAAGACTTTTCAAATAATTAATACCACATTAACAGAGAAAAAATAAATACACATTCTCTTAATTCTACAGGAACTTAATTAAAAAGCCCTAAAATTAATTTATTTGTAGGCAAAAATTTGTATTGAATTCAATAAAATTAAAATTTAAATAACAACAAAACAGAAACTAAACAGCTTCGCTTTTTTTCATTAATTGGACTCCTGGAATATTACATAATTATATCCGGTGAACTTTAAATTTAGTTCATATCCTTTTTCTTATCTTAGAATCCTGAAATTTTATCCCTTTTTTTACAATATAATTTTTAACCAAACATATTTAGTAGCAAATATATAATTAAGCATATTCTTAAAAACAAAGTGGATTATAATTAAGAAAAAGAAAAAAAGGAAATACGAATGCAGACACAAAGAAAAACGGAACAAAAAGGGATTCTGACACCACTTAACAAACAGTCTGTAATAACACAAAAAAATTATACAAAAAAAAAAATTACGAAAAAAAAAAAAGCCCGTTAAACTGTCTTGGTCTCAAATTTTTTTTCCCCTTTTTATTTTCTCATTTTTCCCCATAAATGTATTAAACTTATCCAACTAATTCAAGTTATATTTTCAAGGTTCGGTTTATCCAGATGGCAAATTTTACTAAAAAAAAAATTATAGCCAACTTCAAAGCAAAGGGAAGAGTAAAAAAAAAATATGATTTATGCGACTTAAAAATTAAATCAAAACCTGTTAAAAAAAAGAAACCCTCACAAAAATGGCTATTATTTTTTATTGTATAGACCATTTTTATAGCTTTCTACTTTTTTTTCTATTAATTTTTTTGATATTTTTTTCTTTACCTTAAATAAACGTATAATTTAATATTATTTTGACCCAAATTTGTGCTCAATATAAAAATGTACATTTTAAAAATAGAAAATTGAAAGGCCTTTGATAGTATTTGAAGGAAAATTAAATTAAAATTTTCTATCAGGTCATATCGAAAAGTTTCTATTATTTGAAATAATGCAAGTAACACAATTAAATTGCGATCATTGCAAGAAACCGGCCTACAGTCAGTAACACCTAGAGTCGCTTCTGCCATAAAATGTATGTAATTGTCCAAAAACCTGCGAATATTTTCAATATTTCATTAGATAACCAATTTAAATAAACCCTAAACATACTTCAATATTGTATTCTTAATATAAATATAGAAAAGATTTAATTGCTTAGCGATACTTTGATTTAATTTATAAAATAAAATTTAAATTGTTTTACTTCGAACTCATTTCTTTCAATTTTAAAATCAACCTCAATCCGACAAAAGTTTAGATCTTATAGAAAATAGAAGACTCGTTGATTTCATCGAAGCTCACAGAACTGAAAATTTATTGTTACATTTATTACATTTTTTTTAATATCTGAAATTTTTATAAAGCCATTGTTGGTAAAGTATCATCTTATTGTATTTTGGATAAAAAAAAATTGTCCACATCAACGAGGCAGCTAAAAATAGAATGAATAAGTAAACGCAGGATAAAAAATAAATAAATTCGCCTAATTTTATACTATGGAACTTTAAGCTTTTTTCAACAATTTTTTTTTTATAATAAATCACATTTTATATTGAAGATTAAAGGACAGGTAGAAGAGTGAAGAGAATTGAACATCTAAAAATCTAGTTAATCTCTTTGAGTCTGTAACAATTTAACTTTTTCAATTCAATTTTTTTCTCTCTCATTTAATTCGTATGTAAATTCTAAGGCTTCAATTTTATATGTTATTCATATAACGACCTCATTTTTGTCGCGACATTAATATTTTTTATGCTTTAATTTTGTGAAAAAGTAGAAAATGTTTTTTTTTTTAAAATAAAATAGTTTCATATTTCTATAACACTGGGGGTTTTTGAGATCAAATGAATGTATATGCTAATTCCGATCATTCGGCAGGTATATTCTATGTTTGGGAATAGTCGGTTTTTAATAATCAGCGCAAACTCTTATTTAAAATATCCTTGAAAAAATCAGATTTCTATATAAGCATTTTATATTATAAACGCTCATAAAATTCAACTCTCTTATTCTTCGTTTTCGATCTTTTGTAGCTGAAACATGGTTTGAAAATCTAAAAAGAAATATACAAAAAAAATATTTTTCCCATAACAAATGGATGAACTGTACATCTACAACAGTTCACATTCAAGATAACAACAAAAAGTAGGTGCCCCTACCCCGATATTTTTAATTCTTTACGCACATTTTTGCTATCCAAATACTGAAAATACCCTGTATATGTATTAAATAACAACATTCTAGTATAAATAGAACTTTAAAATGTTTAGCTTTCGCATTCAAACATATTATGTAAGCATCACTTATGCATATAAAGCGAGTATAAATTTTTAGTATTGTTCCTATATTCACAGTACATATATAGTTTCCCTAAATCACATATTTTAAGGCACAAATTGAAATAACAAACTATATAGTGTAGTTGGAGTTAATTTTTATTTTTTTATGCATAGTTAAAAACTACATAGGTATTGTACCCATATTATGAATTTAAAATGAATAAAAATTTTGACATATAGAAAAAAGGAAAAAAACACAGGTTTGTTTTGCGAAAACAAAAAAAAAAACCTCTTTTTTTTTTCAAATCCTTTCTATGTCCTATTTTACAATAAAAAAAGCAAATATTTTTATTCTTTGTTATTCAAACATAATAAATGTATGTATGTAAATTTTATATTTTATACAAATCATTCGAATATAAATGAAATGAATAAATTAAAATAAAATTTAAAATTTAAATTGCAAAAAAAAAAATTCATTATTCAATGTGTTTAAAGCTTAGAAAAATTTAGAAATGATATAAAATAAATTTTTAGAAAAATAAAGCTAAAAATTGCTTTAAAAAATGTACACACATTGTAATTAAGCAAACAATATATAAAATGAGGTTAAATGTGCGTTCAATTATCAACCTCATGAATATTTAAAAATCCTTTATCATTTTTAAGCTTGTTAAAACAAAATAAAGGACACAAACTATTTATTATTTTAGAATGAGATCATGGAAAACTATATGGAATGCATATCTTAAGGGAAAACTAGCAATTTAATTTAGTAAAGGCAGGTATTTAAGGAATTTTAAAATTTCTTTGACATT